ATTACATTCACATTTCTACATGACTTTAAAACATAACATTGGTGGTTGCAGGAGGTCGAACAGAACGTGTTATTGTTTCAAATCCATTAAAAGAAGAAAGCAGAAACTTTAGATAACGTTAAAAAAAATAATTTTGCACATAAATTTCATGACAATTTTCCGATTCGGTGGTTTCGTTGTCCCAGCAGCAATTGAACCTAATCAAGGAAGTAAAAGTGTAGACACTTTTCACTAAAAGATACTGGCGGATATAACCTAGAAAATGCTGCACTGGCTATTGCAATAAAACGCAACAAAAAAAACTGTGCGAATTATCTATTGAGTCCTACCGGCATCATGTCAAAATTAGCTTGCCACGGCAGACCGCAAGTTTATTCTGGTATCCGGCAATTCAAAACAAAATCCAACAATTGCATACGAAACATCGCCTTAGAGTGTCCCTGTTTGTTTGGAACGGTCAAAACCAGGTGAATTATGTAATCTCTCTGCCTTTCTTCTGTGGACTGACTCGAGATAAAGCTTACCTTTATTTCTCTGTGATGGTAGGGACCTGTTCATCCAACACGTAACAAAATTTGACTAAAGTGACGACGTCGAGTACACTCCAATTTTTCCAAATGAGATCATGTGATTGATGTGCAAAAAAAGACCCACACGTCACTCTTGTTTACACGGAATTAGAAACTGATACGTGACACGTCAGCGTTTGAATACCCTAATTCAAGTGCTGGCAGCATAGATGGAGAAATTTTCAAAATATATATCGTTCTCAGATTCAATGGGTACTTGTTCCTATACGCCAAATTAATGCCCTTTAAATGTTGACAGAAATAGCGGCGTAGATAAATAAAGTTCCATAGTTCGTTTCGATCTGTTTCAGCTTTGTCGGTCTCAGTTAGTTCCTGAATTCTTTTCTCGTCACATGACGCGTGTGCTAAATATAGCACCCTCGAGCTTGTGTTCTCCTTTTGTTAGACACAAATAGATGATTGTCAGCCGGGGAGTTTGTTTACTTGTATAGTACTTAACACTTCCTAAAATTCATAAATTAGTTACTTATTTTCAAGGGTGTGAATTGTGGGAATTTGCAAGGTTTAATAATGTTCCCATAATGTGCAAGGAAACTCCTAAGAATTACGTCAAGGTATGATTTTGAGCCATTTCCAGCATTCATCAAAAACGACTCTTTGTCTATTTGGAAGACTGCCGTTGCCGTTTATATTCTAATAATTGCAGACGCACCACTTCTAACTTTGTTCATTTAGCTACTGAGTGAAACCTGCGGTAACAGTCCGCACTAATTTAGGAAGCCAAGTCCTTTACAATCACTGAATTGAATGAACATCCATCCTAGTGTCCTTGTTCCTCTCCGCAAATGGAGAGGGGAATCACATCTCCTTTCTTTAGTCCATGACAAATTGTTTCATCAATACGCGGTTATTTTCACCGACAAAAATTGAAAAATGTTATTTAAAGACTTCTTTCAGAAATGAACGGCCGAAAAGTTTATTCTTAATTCATTTCCAAAGGATACCGCTTATCTTGTTAATGAGGTTCTTCTACAGAGATAATTTGGATATATCAACAAAGTTTGCGAGATAGAAAACAAAGAGTTATTTTCGGGAATCATGTCTGTAATTGGAAAACAGTTAACAAGGGCACAACCCAGGGTAGTGTTTCAGGACCTTATTTGTTCAATATATTTCTTAACGATCTGGAAATTAAATTAGGGAACGAGACACTTGGTTTCAAATACGCTGATGACTGTACGATTATTGCTCCGGTATATTATTATAAAGATCACTCTGTAGACTTAATAAATCAGTTTTTACAGTGGGCAAGCCAAAATAGAATGAATTCAAATTCTACTAAATGTNTTCGAGCGTTAGCCCTTCGTCGGAGCGAATAGAGGAATTGTGGGTTGTGTGTGCTTTTAAGGGCAGAAAATGGATCTAAACGATCCATTAAGATCACGGATCACTTCACGTGCACCTCCGCTAATGTAATCTATTTTATAACTTGCACTTATTGCATCTAGACTAGGCGACCGATTCAGAGAACACCATCGCGACATCGAAAGGAATGACAAGGACACATCGAAACCAGTCTCTAGACACTGTAATTTATCTAACCATTCTAAGCAACATATGGCAATCTGCGGTCTTTCCTTACACTTAGGTAGCACGAAAAGCCGTAAAACTCTTGAACAAAAGCTCATCTTTCAAACCGGCAGTCTAAATCCCACAAGCATCAACGAACGCTTTTCATTCTACTAATTTATTCGTGTTTTTCTCGTTGCCATGTTCCCACCAATAACGTAGCTCCATTTTCTGCCTTCAAAAACACACACAACCCACAATTCCTCTATTCACTCCGACGAAGGGCTAACGCTCGAAACGTCAGCTTTTGTAATCGTTACGGTGGCTAATTTACCATTTCAACTTTGTTGATATATCCAAATTATTTCGTTACCCCCACCGATGCAGCCCCTAACAGTTTCTTTGGAAACTATCAGCCTTTCTTCACAGAGAAATTCGTAAAAAAATATATAAGAAATATATTTTTGTCGGAATGGTCTGCACCGAAAATATTGCGTAAAAAATTGTCCACTTTTTGAAAACGAATGTTTCGGCTTGTTGACAAGTTCTACTTTATAACCCATTTCTCCGGCTACAGCTTAGAACAACGACAAAAAAATTCCATCTTTTACTGAATCTTCGCTAAGATTTGAATCAACTAATGATTCAAGCCGACTTACAAATTTCAATTTTTTAGCAGAATTACGCGCGTATTAATAATTTAGAGAACACATCAAAATGCAAAATTCAGAGGCCGAATTGAAATATTGAATGGTAAAAGGTAACCGGTTTCGTTGTAGTTAAAACTCTGACGTAACGGCCGTCAGTTGCTAAAAGTTATGACGCTGTTCTTTCTCATGCCAGCTGCTGAAAGCCTACGTTTGTCTTGCTGCTCTCTTTCAATCATATGGTCGACACAAACAGAGTTAGTAGACAATTTTGTTTCATCAACTGAGTGATATAAATTGAATATCGTAAAGAATTCAAGAGCTGACATTTCGAGCGTTACCGAGACCTTCGAAAAGCGACTGATTGGGAGCGGGACTAGACTAGTTGAAAAGAAAACGAAAGGACTTAGCCATTCGTTTTAGTCACTGAATAAGCTCACGAGAAAGCACGTAAGATACAGTGCTTTTTCCTGCAGTGTACTAAAAACGTCTGAGGTAAGGCAACTACCCGATCACACTCGTCACCTTCCACCTGAGGCATAAGGAGTTTACATGATAGAAACCATGAACAAACCTACATCACATATCAATCTCGGCTGATCTTTTCTAAGGACCACCGGCGTTCCGAACTTATTGAATTATTTCCCTTGCAGGACAGACATTTTCAGTGATCAGCTAACCCAATTTAACTTCCAAGTGCCTCGAAAAGCTTCCGTTCCCTTGGCAGTTCGCGTTAGGGGCCTTTTATTTAGCAGTTGACTTTTTTTTCTGCCAATGGTCGGTTGAGCAAAGAAGGATGTCTTCTCGTAGTTGACAGACGTACAGGCATTAATAGGTACTTCGTACAGTGACACAACCAGCAGAACCACTAAATAAAAAGGACATTGGTCGCTCTTTACACGGCAACTCAACGAGGAAGGATACAAGATCATATAGACTGTGTGCCTTCGGACTGCCGACAGCTTCAAGAAAAGCGAGTCGTTAAAGAAAGTTGTCACATAAATAAGTCACAGAGCTACTTCGCAAGATTAAAGTTAAGTATGAAAACTACAGGAAAACTCGGTGTTTCCTTAGGTTAGGTAATACCACAGACGAAAGGCTGGATGGATACCGATCTTGATGAGTTTCTGGTGATCGCGTGTTGGTTGTCACCTAGCGAACCAACTCGATTCCAAATTGCAATTTTGAGGATCAATTAACAAGGGTCCTAACTGACCTTTTAAAATCAGGTAGTTGTGAGTTGGCCGAAAGTAAAAGTTTGATTCATTTGCCATCAATTCGTGTAGCCTCGCCACTGTCATATATCAAACACGTGAGTGATCATGGTCGACAAGTAGCGCAAATGTTTGTCTTTCAAACTGGCACCATAGGAAACGCTCAGTATCGCATGTGTGGCTAAAACCATTCGCACGGATTTTAAAAACATCGTTGTAGGGGTCTGTGAACAGGTTAGGGCGGCCAACATCCAGTTGGCGTCACGTGCCGCGAGGCCGGAAAGATATGGTTTTGCTGGCGGTTAGCTCGAAGTCACAGTAATATGATAGCCACGTGGGAGAGCTTTAGAGACACTCTTTTTCTTTTCTTTGTAGAAAGAGGTAAAAGTAACTGCTAGCAAAGTCTGGGAATGCATTCAACACCGAAGGACTGAAGGACGAAAGATTACTGGGAAATGATGGAGTGCAACGCTAGCGAGCCGGCGTCAAAGGCCGAGAACTCTGGACCTCAACCAACAATCTAAATGTTTGATCCTGTATATTATTGAATTATACAAAATAAACAGTGTAAGATAATAACGTTATCTTGTAAATAAATGTAATGAAATCCATACTTATCATTAAGACGGTCGGAATGCAATAACATGCGTATTCATATGAAAATGAAAATTCCGCTTTGGATCTTTATCGTAATTAACACCGACTGACATTGCCCTCATTACTTCAGAATATTCCAATTTGAGTTGCAACAAAAGTGGGAGACCTAAGGCTTCAAACACCACAAAAGACTGAAGAGTAACCACTTACCTCTCCTAGGAATATGTATATTTATCATATCATGACAAAAGGGATTACAAATAATGCTTTATATGCGTGCTGTTTTTTTTGAAACTGACGGCTTATTGTTGCTAACTGATCATTCACGGCTGACACGATCTTAGTCATCGGTCGACAAAATGTGATTAGGATTTCTAGATCTTTACATGAATAATTTCGTTATTTAACCGGGTATACAAAATAACAGGAATATAGCACAAAACCTGTATGAATTGAGAGCTGAATTGGGTGCCTTCTTTGCCTCTGCGGAGCTTTCTTGTTTCTGAATGCCTGGCTGCCGCCATATTGAATTTAGTTTTCTCTTCAAACTGGTGGACAGATGACGTATGCATGACAATGAGTTCACGAAAAGAAACCTTGGTTTAGTTTTAGTTTTTGTGGCGATAAACTTGAAATTATTATTATAATATTTAAATTAGACAGCTGATAAAATAAATATTCAATTTGGGCACAGCGCATTTCATTTTTCCAAGCTACCAAAATTCGAGCATAATCCTTCGCACCTTTCATGAGAAACAAAATGTGTTTTCTATTGATCTGCGTCAACAATAACCAGAAACTGCGTGTGTTTTGATTCAATGAATAAATCATAACCTATTAGGCACTAAAATTTCTTGATACATAGAACACATTACCTTCCTCGGATACCATCTTTTAGGACAAGTGCGCTAGCATAGAAACGTTTCGTTTAGAGGACTTGAACTCTGACCATGATCCACGCGAGTTACAGCCTGCTTCAGTAGCGAATAGGTCAAGTTTTAGGATAAAATGAAAAACAGTAAGCTCTTAAACTCCCAGATATAGCAATGCCGCTTTCGGTTTTAAAAGGCCAAACCTTATTTCTGTCGCTTCGGTACATCGTAATAAGAGACTTAGAAACAAATTTAAGACAAACTCGTTTGCCGTGTTACAGTCTTACAATCCCATTTGATACTCGTCCCTGTCGCGATTTAGTGCGGACTTACCGTTGTCGCAAACACCTGAGGTCCCTGACAACGAGAAAGATCTTCGGGGGAAAAACTAAGTAAAAAATAGCTCTTCTCACGTTAGACAAGGTGTTGGAATCATAAAAATAACAATTAGAAGGACCAGAGAAGCACTTTCACTTTTATTTCTCAGTTTCTAATGGAAACATCCTGAATTTCCCAGAAAACGCTGTTCGGGAGTTTACCGGCAGGAAAATTTTCTCAATTGTCAACACACTTTAGTAACAAATAAAACTATTCCTACGGTTCTTGAGAACTCAAAGGTTATCTCTCAGAATTAATTTAATTTAGTCCATTTTCACTGCATTAAGTTTTGCAGTGGGGAAGGACTAGAAAGGAACATAGGAACTATTCGTGCTAGTCCACCCTCCCTCCCATCCCACCCCAGGGGAGGACATCCATCACACAGTAATCTCGTGTGTGGGAAATTAACGTCTCCTACCCCAACCCTGCAGGAGACGGGACCTCCATTTATTCGTCCCTATCCGAGAAATTTACATTTTTGCCCATTTGCATACGGCTTTGCGTAAAGAAGGAAGCATGTTAGATACAAATTGACTTCAGGCAGCTAAAGAGCTAGAAAACCTTAGTACATGGTGAAATTTTTAGCTCTTTGGGTGTAATATTCAAGGAGAAATAGTCCATCAAAATCTGCAAAATTTCTGGGTGGTAAAAGCGCTAATGAGCTCATACATTCTATGTAAAATTTTGAGTTTTTAAACCCGTGTTGCACAAAAAGTATTCAATGCATCAGGCTCGTATTCATTGGCCGAGTTAATCGTACTTTGACCTTTCGATATTCAGAACTGATTTATTTTTAGCTCCATCAGAAACTGAATTGCTTATGCTAATGAGGCAAATATTGTAAACAAGGACTCCCCAATAGAAAGGTAGAAAATTCTTCTCAATTATTTTAAGACCCTGAGTGTTAGTCCGGCCGGGGCTCGAACCCTCGACCTCCCGCACAACAGTCCCGCGCTCTATCCATTGAGCTAACCGGGAGAATGACTGCATCTCAAAACACTTGAATACCCATCCCAGAACTAATAGCATCGTCAAACGCTATCTTTGTCAGTTTGCGACCGGAAATTGGAAGCAACCTAATTTTTTCATTTTTTTTTTTTTTTTTTAACCTGATTCTTTTCAGTAATGATCTAATCAGCCTGAAAAGCGAACATGCAACCGGATCATGTTTACTGTTTGGTGTATTCCTCTTATTTATCCATCTTTCCAAACGTACATCTTGTGATTTCCTTCCGGATGAGCGACTCAAAAAGACTTGTCAATTTATCCATGAATATTGTTTAGACAACAGGCTTAGAGATGAGGTTTTCAGCGTACATCTGTGCTCTGATGTGACTTTCATTCACTATGTGAGTCAAAATCTTAACCAGCCGTAACATTTCACGCAACACTGATATGACGTAATTTGGCCGTGGGCAACACGCGGTGTTTGTTTCACCATACATACTGTGAAGTGCTGCGCGAGGTTGTTTCAAGGTCGCATGGCTGGATTAATTAAAGATTTAACGCTATGTCATGCAATAGTTCTGTTATATTCTGCGGAAGTATTGCCTTCACTTGCACTTGCTATCTTGTCATAACAGCTTCATTATGCTGACAAAGGTAAACAAGTCTGCAACTGCTAATCATCGCTGTTCCAAGAGCCCCTGGCTATTTACTCGGCATGTTTCATTTTTTGTCTCGTTTTGTTGTCACTTTCCCATGTCGCCCTACCGCACATTCTGTGAGCTGAAACAGTCCAATTTTAGCCAATCAACATGTCATCCTTCTCCCATAATGTAATGGCGCCTGTGCAAAGGAATGGGACCAGTCGAGTGACGTATCTACACAGCATGTATTTTGTGTTTTTGGTCATTTTCCGAGTTATAACCGGTTTTGAGACTTTGCCTTTTAGCTGTGTTTCTCTTTGAAATTAAAACTGGGGATTTTCCTGCTTTTTCTGGGGCACCATCATCTTAGTTTGTCTACGCGGAAAGACTGCACTTTCCTTTGGTTTACCGTGCTGATACCCGACGCGGGATGTTGGGGGAACACGAGCAAAGTTTGTAAATCACAAGCAGGTGGAGAATGATTTAGAATTTTTTCTCGTGCAGCTCTCCCAACATTACGTCCGGACACCGATAGAAGGAACAGTCGCTTGCTTTTATGAAATAAACTTCAGTTTTCAACGGGTTAACTGGCGCAATAAACGATAGGTTTTTGACCAGTCAGGGCGCTCGCGGTATCTCAGTTATTTTATAAACCAAATGAACATGTGATTTCTAGACATGATAATTCCCTGTAGGCCATCAATCTCGCTTTACTAGAGAGAGACGATTTACCTCTCTGGCGAGCTGTGACAAAATAAAGTCTTTGATTTAACGTGCATGTACCGAATCACGCGAGGAATTGTGCTCATGACGATCACAACACAATTATAAAAAAAAGTAACTACGCCAAGATATTTAATTTAATTTCTGCAAAGTCCAAAACTAATTCTGTATGGAAGAGGTCGTAACATGTTACTTTGGTTAAAAAGAAAATCACCGAAGGATTGTCTAGGATGGAAAAGATTGACACGAATTGCAAATGGTCAACTTGAAAGAAAAAAGGCAAAATACATGAGTTCCTTTATGATCGTTCACACCGATTAGAGCAGTTTCAAATTGTGTCGAAAACACCAAGCCAGGCGGGAAGAACGGGTGAGCCGTTCCAAGTTGAAATAGCCATTCCAAATTGATTCAGACGCCGAACTTTTCATGTACTCAATTCAAGGAATTAGGTTCGGCTCATGAAAAGATCGGCGTGTGAACCGGAACTAAATGCTTAAAAATCCCCACCGGCAGGAGGCAGACCAGTGGGCTATTTACAGAGCACACCGAGGAGTTGAATTAGGGGCAACCGAGAACAAATCCAGTGAGTGGCGGATGGAGGACTCGGACCTGGGACACCGGATTAGAAGTCCAGCACCCTAACCACTCGGCCACGCCGCCTCCTCAAGAACAAAGGTTAAAACCATTATTAACCAATGAACATTCAGAGTAAAAACAGGCAACGCGCTTGAAGCGCGGGAAAACGCGTGTGACCAAGTTGAGGTTTATTTCAGTTGTGCATTTTGATTGGTTGAGATGGTGGCACGAGTTTTCTGGACCAATCACAGAGCGAAGTAAAGTAAACCAAAGCAACCAGGATCACTTTCGATACTCAGTTGAAATCTGCTCTAAACTTTTAAGTAAACTTCATTTTGGTTCGTCCCTCAACCCTTTACAACAAAAACTACGGCCACAAGGAACGATATTCTGTTAAAATTTTAATTGCGTTTATCAACTACGAATATTAAAATTGATAATTAAATTTGTAAATGGTGCTTTCGCGTAGCATTTCCAAATTGATTTCAATTTAATACGCCTCCAAAAACATCCATGGAGATGTTCAGGATAATTCAAATTCTTGATGACAATCTTATATCACACCTACACAATTGGTTGTGGGTTACATTTTTGCATTACTTTTGGAATTTAAGACTTAAAACGACTGAATTCATTCGCGCACAACCCTGGTTTTAACATAAACATTTTAAACCCGATCTGGAAGCTTCTAGATGAAACTCCTCATCAAATAAACTACATGTGGACTTATGTCTCTTTCTTTTCCGTCCCGTCTTATCTTACCAATGAAATAAATGAGTTTTTACCAGTTTTTTGGTGAGTTTGATGGTGCTTATATTTCGAACGTGAGCTTCTGACAGAGACTCATAAATTTCTAATTCTAGCTAATTGAAACACAACTGTACAAAAAATTATCCGATATTCGCAGATGGCTTCTAATATAATTCGATTTCCCCCAGTGATTAACATAATGTTTTCCCTATTATAACTCGAGCATCCAGGTTCAGTGTTCAAAGAGAAGGGAGACTGGAAACTAAAGAAGCACAAAGCGCGATTGTTGAAACCTCTAAGAACGACCACGCTTAGCATTGGAATTAAATTCCCCCCCCCCCCTACACTGTACACCAATAAAGCAGACTATCCTACCATTAAACAGACTTACAGCGAAAATCTTTAGCCCGCTGCTGAGCTAACTTACAACAAATTAATCTTCCGTTCCACGCAACATTTACATGTAGTTACAAGAAATGTGGAACATAAAAATGTATTACATATCACTCGATCGTGTACAAGTATACCTAGAAATTTTGCTTCAAAAACTGCAAACAATTTTAAATCTACAGGCAATGGACTGACATATGTATTATATTACACTATCAGATATCAATTTTGGAAAATTATCCTTAAATTTACTTTAATTTCATGTATTCTAGAATTTCATCTGCAAGAATTCGAAATACCGTGAGAAGCGCTGACAGTGTTCTCAGCTTAGTGCGTGCCTTCTATTGTGACTACTCCCTTACGTAGAATACCAATAAGTGTTGAGCTTTTCGAGGCATCCTTGATATCACTATCATAATTACGGATATCGAATGGCCAATTTCAACTTTAACTTTCAGTGTTGAGAATTTGTTTGCAACCTTCTTTGTAATGATGGATGTCATCCGAAAACAATTTTAAAGAAGGCTTTGAGCTAGTTTTTTTTTTTTTTTTTGGTTAATTTTTTTTTCTTCCATTTATCTTTTTGATGGGGAGATACTTTTATTTCAATACCGAAAATTTAATCGGTAACACGAACCAAGACCTACTCATGGGTCATGGAAAAATTTCCTGAAATCAATCAAATGACCAGTCACCCTTTCAATATACACTCATCAATAATTCCAGAAAAAAAAACCGACTTGTTTTAATCTTTCCTGGGCTTTCTATTGACTGATTCAAGCTTTGATTCAAAAGAAAAATCCACTCACTTTATGTACACTGATCCAATTCAAGGAAAACGAGTAACTACTATTTGGATTTACTAATACTAATAGACATCAAACTATTTTAATTTTACCGCAAACTGTGATTACACAAAACTACTTTCTCCAGTTTAGGCTACAACCACTACATAAAAAAAGTTCACGGATTGGGGACATGATGTTCCTTGCCATAATCACGTCAGAAACATTTCTGATTCACAATTCGCCCTCCATAGTCAGCATATTCATCAGTTGTGACATACATACTGTCTATAGTCGACAGGGAACCCAGTATTGAACCTCCAATCCAAGCGGAATACCTTCTATTGTCAGGCGCACTGACGGTTCGTATCTTGGGGTTGATTTTGCTGAGTTCACGTTCGAGTCTCGGCACCAGTCCCCTCATGAGAGTCGTGCCGCCAGATAATACCACGTTTCGGCTCATAACACTCTGAAGCTCTGGAGAACATCTGGGCAATTATCAAGAAAATAATCATAAACCCTTAATTCAAACATTCCAGGATTCAAAATAAACTAAAGCTAAATTCAAAGCATGTTTTCCTAAAACTAAAGAGTTGCAGATCTTTTGATCAGTTTAGGCTATAAGTAAAGGACTAAAGTTGAATGAAATGTAAATAGTTCACCCTTTCGCCCCCAAGATCTCATTTAGTAGTTCTCCTTACTGTCTGCCATACAATTCTTGTTGTTTTAGTTTGGAGAATTTGGTATTGGATCAACTAAAAATCCCCTTCTTGATATTTTCTTTATTCTCATCACTTGTCTGCTTTGTATCGTATTGATGTTGTAAGGAGAAATTCTGTCTTGGTCACTCGTTGAAGTTAAAGGCTTAAAATCACTCTGCTTAGCCTTTGTTTGCAATTCGTTTAGAACAAAAATTGATCAAAGAATTCATTTCACCTCCTGAATGCATTGTTGACCAGTTTGTGAATAGGGAACTGCGAGGCGACAGTGTCATCTGCTCCAAGAAGAGTTTCAGGATTAAATAAAGGTTCAGCAGTGGTTATCATTTCACTGCTGATGTCTACAGACTGGCCATCTGGCAGCATGTAGTACCGAGTCAGTGTATCACTTGTCTTGTACTGATGCAACTCCCTGGGATAATCTGTAAAAAAAACAAACAAACAAACAAAGAAAATATGATTGGACAGGGAAACAAGGGGGGGGGGAAAGCAGGGTGAATAAGGGTGTGAGTGGTACAAGTGTTTGTCAAGGTAGGAAGCAGGGTGGAGGGGCAAAAATGAGAGCACTAACTAATCTGTAGTCAGCTGTGTTTCATGACTAAGACAAGAGATGGAAGTCAAAAATGTAGGAGGCTACAGGTTGTTAACGAGAAGGGGGGATGGGATACCTTAACAAACTTCCTCCTATCCAAGAGCAGTAACAAATAGATAAATATTCCTTGTGTCTTCACGCAACAGAATCACTGATAAACTTCAGTAGACATATCCAGACTTGAATCTTTTGGTAAAAGCGTAGCAACAGTATATAAACTTTTCCACCTTTTCTTATCCTGTAGATGGGAGATAGCCATCTGTATCTAGATGACAAGTGAGCTGATTTAAATTATCCCACACTTAAAACTCACCTTTGTTATCATATAAAAATTGATACTCACTAGGCAAAATTTTTTAAAAAATTAAAATATATCACACCTATTTCAGGATTACCTTGAGCCACATAAGCCATGTTTTCCTTCATTTTATTGACAATCTGCCAGCCAGAGGAGGAATTGAAGTTGTGACCTTTGTTATCCCTGAGTAGTTTCTGGAGGTTGTTTGTGAGTGACTGACCTCCTATGTCAAGTTCTTGGACAGTATGTGCCAGCAAACATCCCTCATAAATTGCCGCAGCTTGAGTGACTGAGAACCCAGAGGACAGACACATGCCGCCTGTCAGGCCAGAGGCATACAGAGACAAAACAAGTTGATTGGCAAGATACATTGCAGGAGCACTTAGGTGCTCAAATAAAATCTGCAATCCAAAATATTATTCACCATATAAATAAGTACACTATACATCTCCAAGAGTAACCACCATCAAAGAGAAACCCAAGAGTCAGCCTCATAATATGGTCTACACTTACTAAAATTTGCTGGCTCTTGTTTTGGAATTCTCTACCTCCTTCTGTCAAGAAAATATCTAATTCCCTAAAACTATTTCATAATGCCCTTTGCACCTTTAGGCTTAATTGTTATTGATACTAATTCATCAACATTTTGGAATATTAAGAAATAGTTGTTTCCTTGTAAGGACCTCTTTATGTCCTGCATTATTGTATTTCTTTTTTTTTGGAGGGGGGGAGGAGGGTGGGGTGGGGTATCCATTAGATTTCTCTTTGGATGACTCCTACTCATTCACAACCTCTTTTATAATTTATGATCTATTCAATATTCACTTTGTATTAATTCTTCTCTGTATTTTTCTTATTTGTATTGTGTTGTAAACTAAACTGAGTAGTCCATTTTACAGTTGTGTGCTTGATTGCCAAGCCTGCGAACAGGGGTGAGGCTGAGAGTGACCTTATTATGATACAAATGTTGCTGCTTATCAAATGGAAATTAAGTTGCTACAATGCTAACTAGATACTTGTCTCCATCACAACAAGGTCACCTTCAGCCTCACTCCTAATCAAAGGCTTGGCAACTAACCACACAACTGTAAAAGTTCTGCCCCTCTCAACTGAGTTTCTTTCCTTTCTAACCAGCTAGTGATCTTGACAGTCACCAATTAGTAAGAATAGTGCTGAGAGACTTAACCTTTTCACTTCCAAGATCTCATCAGTAATTCTCCTTCTGTCTGCCATAAAATTCTTGTAATGTTAGTTTGGAGAATTTGGTTTTGGATTGACTAATAATTCCATAATTTAAATTTTTCTTTTTCCTGTCCTTTGTATGGTTGATATTGTATTGATATTGTTACACTGTGGATGAAATTCTGTCAGGAAGTTAAACAATCAACTCCTATCATGTCTACCAAGGAATTTTACAGACTGGTGAAAATCTGTAATCATGTCAACAGAGCTTCACTAGTGCAAGATGTTACCAATCAAAGTATTAATACTAGACACATGCATACAGTCCTAAATACTTAACCCTTTAACTCCCACGAGTCACCAAGACAGAATTTCTCCTTACAATATCCATACAATATCAAGCAGACAAGTGATACGAATTAAGAAAAATATCAACTAATGAGATCTTACAAATGAAAGACTTAAAAAGGCCTTGCATTGCACACACAAATCCAATGAAATCTCACCTCAGCCATTTTCTCTCTGTTCTTCTTTGGAGTATTGGCAACTTCAGTGATCAAAATCGGATTGCTTCCCTCTTCAATTCCAAGCTCGCTGTACAACATGTACTCCCAGATGTCTTCAATGTCAGACCAGTTTTCAATGAGTCCTGCTTTCATTGGATACTCTAAAAAAAATCCAAGAGAGATCCAAGAGAAATCCAAGAGAAAGAAGGATTATTATGGGAATTTTCCAGAAATTTCATCATACTTTTTTTCCTGTGATAAAAAGCACATATTTAACAATTATTCACTGAAGGTGAGGTGAATATCGTCAAATAATCCCCGAGATGAAGTGGAGGGGATTATTCGACAATATTCACCAAACCTGAGGCGAATAATTGTTTTAGTATAATTTCAGAGCTGAACAACAGAGAAAGTTCTAAAATCATAACATTTCAGTAACAATTATTAACATTTTATTTTAACATTTTATATAAACCGCATGGAGCGGTTTATATAGCGTCATATAAGGAACCGCTCGACCAATCAGATTGCTGGAAATTCTTTGCTCAGCTCTGAAATTATACTAAATATATCTACTGTATATATATATATTTTTTTAAATAGTTTAGTTTAACATAATTTATATGTAATTAGTACTACTGACTGGGTGTTCTTGAACCCCATATTTAAAAATGTTATGTCAGCCCATGTTTTTCAAGAGTATGTGGAAACTGGCATTTGTAAGACACAGTGGCTTTATGTCAGTGGGCTGAACTCCTGGGCTGGGTTGTTCAAAGTCGGATTAAGATAACCCAGGGTTAGTGTGAAATTTGATATCAGATCTGAAAGCTTTAAAAGAAAAGTCAGTTTAATTCCACTTGTCTACAATTTGATGATTATATGTTTCAAAAAGAATCAATTGGGAAAATAATCCCTACATGGCCTTTGAACAGACAAAAAGAAGAAACCTGGTAAAAAAATTTAACCCTGGGTTAGTGCTAATCTGCCTTTAATCTGCCTTTAATCTGCCTACAAACAGCTGGGCCCTGGTCAAGAGGTCTGGGTGCAAGACCTAGCACCCAGACATTGCACCTTGGTCATTGTGTTGGTCGTGTTGGTCATAATTGGTCATTGCCCCAAGACATTGCACCTTGGTCATTGTGTTGGTCGTAACACTTTACTCTCACAGTGTCTCTCTATACCCAGGAGTACAGGGGAATTGTCAGAGAAACCTGATGAAATTCTGAGGGGTAATCATGCAATAGACTGGTATCATATCCAGAGGGGGGAAAAGTAATACCCCTAGTTGCCTTATGCTATGGAAACCAGGATTGGCTCCAGCTGGATGAGCCACTTTGCTTGAGAACAGGCTTTACCTTCCTATGTAACCTTGAATAGTAATATTTTGCTGTTAACTTACCAAGTTGCATAACACCAGCCTTCTTAGCAGCAGCATCTCCAAACTGTCTGTCTTTTTTATTGTCTAGTCCAGCCATTTGTAATGAGTATCTTTTAGGAACCCCATACAAAGCTGGTTGTACAATACTGGGTTTCTTTTCTCCAGCCATGCCAAGTTTAATGGTACCACAGCCATTGTCAATCACCACAGCATTGTTGTAATGCGATCCAGCTACAAGGAAGTGATTACATAAAAACTTTTAGGTCACTCACACAAGCTTTGAAGCACAAGTAATGCCAAAAACTCTCATCTTTTTAACCCCTAAGTGCTAAATTCAAGATAGTTAAGCAAGCGTTTTCAAACAAAAAATGCATTAATCTGTTTCAAATACCAACATTCTACCAGACATCATAATTTGTCTTTTCCTTTACACCATGAGAATTAATTTGATGTACAAGTTGTAGCTTCACATGAGTTGTTCAATACAAAAGAATCAAGAAAACAAGACGCCAAAGCTTGGTGAAGATTTTGCATTGCCTGCCCACTTGAGAAGGTTTTCACGCTTGTTGATGTTGGTTGGCAATGTTGTTTTCAGTCAAAAAAACAAGACAGTAATCTACAGTCACATGTGGTGTACCACTATCCACCTACTTATGAAATCAAATGATAGAACTTGCAGAGCTCCTGGACCATTCTTTCTGTTTGTGTTTGTTAAAAAAAACTAATAACCCACTGCTAATGGTGGGGAAAAATTTCAAGTTTTTATCAGTCAAATTATTGAGGTTGATAGGCCACCAGAACATGTTTTCATCATGTGCATGGAAAGGTAGATGCAATCCACAGTATTTACATTTCCAAGAATTACCAAACAAGAAAACACTAAGAACTAAATTTGAACAATGATGAAATAAAACCCTTGCTAAATAACTTAATATAATTCTTTTTAGTTGCTACCAAATTTCTTAATAAATGCAACGATATAATCCTTCTGTAGATATTGATTAATTACTTAAAAATTATAGAATGCTTTGTGGCAAATAAAATAATGAAAATGAGTTGGAAACAGTTATCTAACCTGACTGTATCCTTGCTCTTGGGAGTGTTTTGCGCTTTTTCTTTCTTTTTCTATCTTTTGTATGTTTACTCGCACATAATCCATCGACAGCTGACTGTGATACAAACAACTCTTCATTACCATCATCATCAGTGTCATCATCATCCTCCTCATCAGCGTTATCAAAGTCATCGTAATTGCTTCTATACTTTGCCATATTTGACCCTCCAACTGCTCCCAGTTTGGCATCCTCTCCATGATCAATGACTTCATCCTCCGAAGAGTCTATAAACTCTGCATCTTCATCGGAAGTGAGTTCTTCGTCATTCAAAGGTGAGGTTGAATCTCTTGCACTTGGCAAAGATTTTTCACTTTCAACAACTTCATCAAATTCATCTCCCTCCAAGTCTGAAATCAAACTCCTTCTCCAGAAGTCACCACTTTTCTGCCTTGTTAACTCTGTTTGTACATTATTGTCTTTGGAAGGCACAATATCATATCCTTCTGATTGATCTGTAATTTTAATCTCCTTTCCTACTAGAACAACATCTTCAGGTGTACTTTGGCAATTCTGTGCCTCCATGACAGGGTCTTGAGAAAGATCAACATGACCATTTAACACTCTATGTTCCTGAGTAGCTTCACTACATCCTTCTAGAACTTTTACAGCAGCCTCGCTCACTGCATTCTGTAAGGCATCATCCACATAGGACCCTACTTGAGATTCAAGCTCATTCTGAATCGTTGGCATTTTTTACTGGGCAATGCTGCTTTTTTGCTTCTCGTGATCAGCAGCTTCATTTACAGCTGAAAATATTAACTCCTTCACCGTCACATCCACTTGAGAATCCAAAATTTCGGGCGAGTATGCTTGTAATTCTGACTCCTGTTGTGACTCATTCCCTTGATAAGCCCTTACTCTCAAAGAGGCTTCATAAATTGCCCCATTCACCAAATTTTCCACCACACCACTGATATGGGGTTGTAAGGAACTTGATACAGCTACTCCCTGATAAGCAGCTTGACAAACTTCACCGGTTAAACTGTCAGCACTGTGTGGAACTGGATCCTCCAAGTCTGTCACCTGGGCAGTGTTTTTATTGGTAGAGTAATCCTTGTTTGCATCTGTCAGCACAGCTGCCTCTTCAATACCATCTGATAAAACTTCACTCACAACATCTTCACTGAAAATTTTAATTTCACCAAGCGACACCTTTTTCTTTCTTCCTTGCTCAAACTTCTGTTTTGCAGCATAGATGTCTACACCTTCACTAATAATTTGTTCACTCAAATCTTTGGCAAAACTTTCAACATCTTTAACCAAAGCAACCTTACCAGTGGCACCTTGGAACAAAGAATTAATCACATCTCCCGCAAAACTGTGTATTTCCTGGACATTTTTTGTGTCAATTTCTTCTTTGCCAGAATCAGCTGATAACTGACCAATAGCGTCATAAACTATCTGTGTGGAAATGTTTTCAGCCAAAACATTGGCTCTCAGTTCCAGGTCGATGTCACTGAAGGCAATTGTCTTGACTTTGGAAACTAACACTTCTGCAAAGTCGCTGAATAAACTGTTTTTATTTAAATCTGTCTTAGAATAATTTGGTTCCACAACGTCGACACATGGTTCAGAGTGCAATATTGGTTGCTCATTCTCAAACGCTGCGAAGTTATATTCCTCGAGTGCTGATGAAACCCTGCTCACCGAAGTTCTCGTCACTATGTCGGAAATTTCACCCTGATTCTCACGAGAAGACTTCAAATCTTCAAAATGCTCGGTACTCCCGCCTAAAAATTCTGAAAAATATTCGTTTGCGTTCGAGTTCGATGTTTCATTTTCTTGACCTCGGATTTTCTCTCCCTCTGTGACACGGTCCTCCGACACATTGAACTCTTGTGGATACAAAGCATCTCGACTCCGCAAAGAAGCGTCGCGTTTCACAGGTGCAAGAATTTGTTTGACTGTTAAATTGTCCCCTTTATCACTGTGGGCAGGTGCTTGTTTTGAACTCTCTAACGAATTGTTAGCATTGGGTATTTCAGATGATAACGTGCCTTCGCGAATTTTCCTTTGCGTGTCCGATCTGCCGCCTTCCAATTCATTTCCAAGATCAATGCAATCCAACTTCTGGTCTTTTATCCTCGGTTGTTCTTCTTTGGTTTCATGGTCGCTTTTTTTCGTCGAGGACACTGATTCCTTGTTGGATTTCTGACTCACTTTCCTCTGGTCGTCTTTTCTCCCAAAACCACACAAGACCAAAACGAAGTAGGCGGTACAAAAAATTAATCCGAGCAGCGTCCATGGAGAGATGTAAAACATGATTATCTGACTTGAATCTCTAGTAATCCTTCAATTTAGTAAAATATGGCTGTAAAACCGTGGTAAATCCTGTCAAACCTCCCCCAAAATAACAACGACCGCCATGTTATTTTCGTCCTCACAAAACATGACACAGCCTCATTTCTAAGACAATCGACTCTGCACGTGCCACTGAATTGAAGTAGGAAAACAAACTTTTGTGGTTAAGAAATTTTTTTCCACGAAGTTGAGGAAGTCGGCGTCCTTTTCGTAAAAGATGTTACACAATGTCGTATGCTACCATTGGGACAAAAACGATCTGTCGTTGGCGAGTCGTGACAAGATTTAGTCGTGTGTCTCGCATGACAGGTCGTGCCTGTGGTGAGAGCTTCTACAATGTCGCATCGCAGGGGAATAAATCTAACTAATTGTTCAAGCTAAGAATGATTGAAATAGGGAATTTCGTGAGTACCTGTACAATGGAATTCTTTAGCAGCTTAAGCCATCATACGGCCTTAAAAGGTTCGAAGTTTCTTGTGAAATGAAAACGCAATTTAAAACGGATGTGATGTCACGCTATTCAGTTTCTCCAAGCAGCTGCTTGATTTCCTACTATCTTTATCACTAAATAAACTGACGTTAACGTGAACCCTCGCTGGCTCAAATTGGACTTCAAGCCTGTAGGATGACCATTTTATCGACCTAGCGTGGATCAAGAACTCTTAAAAAATTGAGATAGGATCGGATGTACGTAATTGTTTAATTAAGCCCCCGCCTATAAATACTTTGTAATGAAATTTAGTAGCTTGACATTGTAAACATTTTATTTTTCTAATGCGCGGTGACGTTGTTGATATCAGACTTCAATACCGTCTGACATGTTGGAATTTTTTTAACCATAGAAAGTAATCTGGTCGTGTTACGTTGATTTTTGGCGAAGGAAAACAAATGCTGATGTCACCTACGACTTTCAGGGGAGGGGTAGGTGGTGAGAACTAGTTACTAGTCCGTCTAGGAAAACATGGAACGCCTTGTAATATTTGCCTATCGTTCGCTTAGCATTTGTCTGTGATTGTGTAGCCATTTTTTTAATCTAAAATGACCACTGTTAGACCTTTCAGATGCGAGGATATGTTTCATTTTAGCAATGTGTGAGTACGATTATGCTTTTTTGTTTGTGTCAAGAGTACTGTATTGGGTAAAAGCGAAAGGAATAGAGCTGATTACTAGGCGAGCATTGTATCTGTTTATTTAATTGTCATTTCCAAGCTAAGTAAATGGCGTAAAATGCAACTGTGGCTTGATGTCTGTTTAACAAATTGAGACCATGCTGCCGTGCGCCTGTTTAACAGGAGATAACAGATGACGTCAAAATGCGGTTAGAACAAGAAAGTGAGACACGAGGCGCAACCGTTTATCACTGATGCTTTTCCCCAATTTGACGCCATCTGTAATCTTTTGCTCAACAGACCCACGGAAACTTGATAACAAACAAAGTGTTCTTAACGGTGACATCATCGATGCATACACCTGTCATCCAATAGATCATGGGTGAGAATAGATTAAAAACAGGTTAGATTTCATTTTGAGAAGGCTGGAATATTCAAAGGTTTCTAGAAAGATAAAAGCTAAGCTATTCCAACCCGGCTTTGGGTGACTTGACCAGGATGCATAATTTGCTGCAAAACTCTTGCTAATTTGCACCTCTTTGATAACAGTACAACATCATTGTATGATTCCTACCTCTTAAAATCAGAGTCAAAATTTTGCAATCCTGCACCTCACTTGAGGCTTTGAATCTATAGTTATGCCTCTGCTTGAGTTTTCTAAGATAGCTTTTAGTTGACATTTTGGGTAGGTTGGCATCTGAGATTTGAATAACTTGTATCAAATTCTTCCAACCTCCGTTGTGTAAGATGAAGTTAATATGTAAACATAGAAAAAAGACCTCTATTGCTGTTAAGAAGTTTTTCTCAAAAATAACTCAACCATTTACCACTCATAACCCTTTTTAACAGTGTCCTTTGACAGTGAGGCATTCTGGTGGGTTGAAGTTGGAAAGTTTTAGATATCATCCTCTAAGAATTGTCATCCCTGACCAGGGAATGGACAGCTAACGTATACTGATACCTTCATGAGACCTTGGCCTTGTCTTGGAAGAATTCAGTATGTAATATTATGTTAAGTCAACGGGCCAGTGGTGGAGCAATGTGTTGATGATCTTGGCAGCAGTCATGTGATGATCATAACAGAATGAAATAAGGAGAATATGAGAATAGTTATTTTGTAGAGTTACTAAGACAAAGGAAAAGTTTATTCTCCTTGCCCTCCAATTTGAACACATTCAAGAACATGTGATCAACTTAATTTGTGACTGTGTTTGTTTTTGTTTCCTTTTTTTAGGAACTTAGATCCATTGACTGAAACTGTATCCTTTGATGAAATCTCAATTTCCTAGAGTTAGACTTCTAGACTCACTGACTTTGCACTTATCCCCATCTTGGAAGAGAGCCTCCGGGCAAATTAAAGCAGTAGATCTTTTAATGTACTTTTACACAAGAAATTAAGCCATTGTTACTTAATATACAATTATTGTTATCTTTAGCAACTTTCCGTGTAGTCGCAAATCCACAATTTATTTATAAACTCCAAACGATCAAGATCACTTGCACATTGCATGATTGGATTATGTAGAAGCTTTAGGGAATCCACAGTCAGTGAAGCTACTGAAAACTACAACAAAAAACATGTTGACTCATTTCTCCTTGGGTTGGCTCTGAGCCTGCTATGCCTTATGGGAGGCACAGGCCTCCCAATACTAGAACAAGAAGTCTTTTTAAAAAATGAAACATATTCAATAAAAGGTAACAACATTCCCAATTTTTTTCTTAATGTTACTGCAGTATGGACTAGCATTCTATCTTCAATATCTAGCACACTGGCCAGAGTACTTTCAAGTAACAGAATCACCTACAGGACAAATTATGGGTTACAGTAAGTTCTAAAATATTGGACTGTTTTCCAATTTGATATGAACTTTTGATTTAGAATTATTATGTAATGGTAATTTTGAAATTCCAAATGAGGCCTTGAACTAGTGTTAAAGTGCTGTTCAGCAGGGTCAGTTGTTCTAAGGCCAATTAGTGCTAACCTCGATTAGCACTGCTATCTGCGGAGCCAGGGGAATAAGGATTTATTGTTATTGTTATTGTTAAATAAATGTGTTAAACATGATAAACTTGTTAAACCCAGGGTTAAATTTTAATCTAGGTTTCTATATTTCTCAGTTCAAGAGCTGTTTTGGGATAATTATTTCACTTAGTTTTAGAGCATTCAATCATCAAATTGTAAACAAATGGAATTAGAATGAATTTTCTTTTAAACCTTTCACGTCTGAAATCAAATTTTACACTAACCCTGGGTTACCCTAACCCACCTTTGAACAACCTGGTCCAGAAGTTTAAAGTCTGAGCTACCACTGATTAACAGTATTGTTGGGAATGTCTTTTGATTTTAACATTTTAAGTCTAGGGCCTTCTTTGAATTCAATATTGCTGATTAAAATGCTACTGAAGGCAAAGATAGCCGACTATTTTGATTCAGAGTCAAGTTATCAGCATGTTGGATTCTGGTCAAGGGTTTGGGAGTGTTATTCAAAAGCACCAGCAGCCATCATTTTTCACTAGCTACAAACTACACTGTCTACAGTGTACCATCTACAAACTGTTGGTAATTGCACAAATCTGGACCAGCTATGAGTGTGCAATCAGCCAATCAAATAGGAGGACTTAGGATTTCAACCTGCTGAGATGCTGCAGAAGAAAATTAGTAAAAAAAGATTACCATTATGCTATTCTGTGGCCATCATTTACAACGTTGTCAGTATATTTTAAATTGTTAAAGCAGCTAGAAGTACCTGTTTTCAACTGCAAATGATCAGCATTGCAAAACTGATTTTTTTTTTCAGTTATGGGAAAAGCTGAAGGAAGTGTTCAACAAGAAGAATGGCATGGTCATGTAACAGCAGTAACAGTAGCCCCTGAGTATCGCCGGCTTGGACTGGCTGCAAAACTGATTTCCAACTTAGAAGAGATCTCAGAAAAGTAAACCACTGCATTTTTGAAAGCATTAAAAACCATTGACTAAATAGCAGGCTGGGTATTTCATATTGTGTAAGGCTATTTAATGGACAAATTACAATTATATCACTAAGCAGTAATGACAGATTAACAAAAGGTAATATTCTTTATGTTACACAAAAATGTATTTGTGTCACTTTGCAAATAATCAGGACCTGCAGGTCATACGTTTTAGACTCAGTTCTGAAGTAATTGGTGACCTGAACTGATAAGTCACCTTTGATTAAATGCCAAGTCCTGATTAAAGGGCTGATCTTCAAATAGGAGTCATCGTGATAGATGCTGCATTGGATATCAGAATTTCCAGAGGGTTGTATGGTTTAGGGATTCAAACATGGGGTTTTCACTAAATACCCTTTATACCCCAACATGAGTATGCAAATTCTTCCCATTGATCTCTTTGCATTTCCAATGATCCTCATGTGGAGAATTAGTCTTAGACTAGCAAGTAGGCACTTCTTGAGTTTGTGATCATTTTCTTTATTCTCATGACCTTACTCTTTGATTCAGGGGTGAGACTGTTGGGAGAAATAAGATGCTTATCACTCTTAGGGATTAAATAGTTAAGAAATGTTACAGTTAAGGGAATAGTTAAAAGAGTAAAGCAAATGGAGAATGTCCTTCAGGTCTGAATACATAACAGTTCAGGGTATCAAATGTTTTTGGGTCAGTTCTCTGATCTAGACACCTGATGACCATGCTACATTGTGTCAATGGTTCTATCATAGATACAGTAATTTTTTTCTCTAAAAAATACATTCAATTTATATATTCAACTTGTTTCAGGAAAGATGCTTTTTTCGTGGACTTATTTGTGCGCATGAGTAATAATGTTGCTGTAGACATGTACAAGCAGCTTGGTTATGTGATTTATAGACGTGTCCTTGAGTACTACTCCGGAGACCCAGATGAGGATGCTTTTGGTAAGAATTCTATTTAAGATTTCAAACTCACCTCAGAGACGCCTTTGTCTTTTGCACAAGGAACTACTTTCTAGGTGTGATGATAACAGTTGGCAACTTAAGTGGCCATAAGCCACTGGGCTACTCATCATCTAGACTTGTCAACTCATGGATGAAAAGAATGTTTTAAGGGGATTATCTTGATATTAGGAACCTTCCATCACAATAGAGAATAGAATTGAAGAGTTGACTGATCTCGTCATGAGCAATTAAATGGAATTCATTTTATGGATGGACTTGTCTGGCTGCCAGATTAGGAAATATTCTAAAACAAGGTCCCACCTCCTCAAGAATCCTGTATCTGTGTAAATGATTGATATTTTTCCACTGTAATAATAGACCTCCTCCCTTATTCCCACTAAAGGGAAGTTGGGTAGAGAGAATATCTCCTTTATTTACAGTTATTAAGTTGATAGGAAAGGATTGCAATAATTGGTGTGGTGGTTTAGACTCAGGATTCCTAAGTCCATATGACACACAACCTCCTTAGGATTCATAAGTTACCTTCCCATCCCCCCCAATAGGAAAATGAGATAACTAAATAAAAACACATCTATCATGATGCAATAGACTCTAATAATATTTTTTTCTTTATGGAATACAGACATGCGTAAAGCACTATCACGTGACAAAGATCAGAAGTCCATCATCCCATTGAAGGACCCTGTTAGACCTGAAGATATTGAATAAAATAATGGACCAACTGCCAGCTGATAGGTCTTTGGGTTTTGTAGAGGAATTGATTGAACTCTTTCTCTTAAAGCGCATGGACATTTCAAGAAGTTTCAGGATGCCTCTTCCCATGATTGTTTGCTCCATTTATTTGCTATAACAGTAACTTGTGTATCGGTTAAGACAAACTTTTATCTTTTAACCTGTTAGTCTGCAGAACAGGAGTGATATTGGCAAGCGAGTGCTCAGTAAATTATAACTGCCATGTTTGAGTTTAACTGCAGTGGAAGGCTGGGAGAAATAGAGGGCTGGGGGGGGTGGTGAGAAGTAAGATGAGGGGGGCAATCTAAATCACATGTTTGCCTTCCCCTTCCCCTCACAGTCCACTCTAACTCTGAATCAATCATGGATGGGGAGATTATCAATCGCAAGCTTGTAACACCAACTTACTCTAGAATAAGAGACCTGCATTGCAGGATTTTTACCTGCAAGCGTCATGTAATCAATACACTTGATAAAAACTGTTGACAACAAATGTCACTCCTATCAGTCATAGGGTGTCATCCTGATATAACAGCAAATTCTCCTGACTGATGTACTGAGAAATGTATAAAAGCTTGTAGGGAGAGTTAAAATCAGATGAAAATAGTTGGGCTTGATCATCTCTCCCTAAGGGTGACTAACATCTGAATAATTTCTCCTTACAATATCTCCCCCACATCACTTATTTAGGTCATGAGAATAAAGGATATGATCACCAACTAAAGAAGCTATTGATTGTTAAACAAACTCTCCTTGTCAGTTCTATTAAGAAACTTATAGAGAACAGTATGGAGAATATGCATATTGATGTTAGGGCGTAAAGGGTTGAAATGAAACAAACACTCCCAAGTCGCCACAAATCTTTTCTTTCTTCTTTTTGCCCTGTCAGCTTGCAGTTGGTCCGTGATAAATTTCCGTTTCAGTGTTTGTTCGTACATATTGAAATGTGTTGTGAAAGTTTTTGTCCAGTAGTTATGATGATAAATCTTCCAGTTTTGTATTCAATAAACTTCTTATCTCGCAACTGTGTCGACGTGTTATTCTTTTTGTAGATGCTGTGGGGTCAAAACTCTGCTGTACGAAACTTTTTGTCGCAACAGTACCGTGGCCGGTAACAAAATGCGTACAAACTTTATGACAGGCACGCAAACTTTAAAAACAGAACGCAACTTTATAAAGTGAAACACACACAAACCAAAAATGAAACGCTTACAAAGTTAAAATGAAAAACTCAAACTTATATGCGTACGTTCTATTTTAAGTTTGCGTGCGTGTTTGCTCTTAAGTTTGTAGGCGTTTCATTTCAAGTTGGTGTTCATTTCATTTAAAGTTTGTTCGTCTCATATTAAGTTTGTGCGCGTTTTATTAAGTTTGCGTGTCTCATTTTAAGTTCGTGTTTTTAATTTTAACTTTGTACGCTTTTCATTTTTAGTTTGAATGCGTTTCATTTTAACTTTGCGCGCTATTTTTAAAGTTTACTTGCCTGTCCTAAAATTTGTACACATTTTGCTAAGTTTGAACGCATTTTGTTAAGTTTGCATGTCCTGTATTAAGTTTGCGTGTCCATTGTTAAGTTTGTACGCATTTTGTTAAGTTTGGATGTCCTTTATTAAGTTTGTTAGCGTTATTTACAGTTTGGGTGCATTTTATTAAGTTTGCTGGCTTTTTGTTAAGTTTGTCCGCAAATTATTAAGTTTGCATGTGTTTTGTGTAAATAACGTACGTAATTTGTCCATACCGGCCACGGTAGTTTTCTGTATTTTATTTACATGTAGTTTCACCATTCGACATTGAAGGTAAATAAACCGTCGATTTGCATACTCTTCGTGTTTCGGTTGAACACTGCGCTAAGAACGCGACAGTCATTTTGTCGCCAAATCTGCGTCGTGGTCCCTGCGTTCCTTCCGGAGACGCAGCAAACTGGGGCTTATGACTTAAGAAACCCGTAACTGCGTAAATCATAGATCACAGGAGATGTGCCAGTTTTTCGAAAAATGTGGAAGACGACTAGGCGACAGACTGCGAGAACACCTTCGTGATGTAGAAAGGAATGACAAAGACGCATCCAAACCAGTCGTTGGACACTTTAATCTCCCAAATCATTCTAAAGCACTTTAGCTTCCGTAGGAACGCTCGAGTCTAAAAATGCAAGTAGTTCGTTTTTCTTTTTTTCAAATATCATTTTGTCGCCAAATCTGCGTCGTGGTTCCTGTGTTCTTTGTGGAGACGTAGCAAACTGGGGCGTATGACTTAAGAAACCCATAACTGCGCAAATCGTCTTTAGTCTTCAAGATCAGCAAAATGTTGGCTTTTAATATGTAAAGAGGGCCTAGGAAGTAATAATGCCTTCTCTCCGGCATCTACGGACATATACGCTTTTCTTTTACTTAGACCCGGAGAATCAGCTTAACTTTGGTAACCAGAATATGAGTATTGATTGTCATGTGGCATCCCGAGGTACAATCCTCTATCTTTACGGTTCGATCGCCGCTTAAAAATTAAATATTTTAGCCGCCTTCTGCCCAAAAGACTCACATAAAAAAAAACGAGATCAAATTTTCTTGACTAACGTTTTCCTTCAAGTCATAGCTTGTAAATTGAAAAATCTGTCAGATTTCACGCCCCAAAAAATTTGTCCTGCTCCAAGGCAAGACGACCACGCCTTTGAAGATTGGTAGGGTTTGACAAAATTTTGTAAGAAAATCACCGGGTGCACTTGTATCACGGTTCTCTATTTCGTAAAATAAACAAAAATTTGCCCAGTGCTTTCGAGCGATCGGTGTAGAAAATCCCTAGGTGTGTAGCAGAAGGTCTGGAGTAACCACAAGTGAAAGTCGAAACTGAATCTTCAATGAAAATAAAATCGCAAAATAAATATGAAAACAAAAATGGCTTGGGGTCATTATTCTGGAGTTTAAATCGCTTCGAGGATCTCGCGTTGCTGTTGTATGTTGCAGTTGCGAGGAATGTTGATTGGTTGAAAATTGGACATCTGTGATGTATATAAATCCAAACATCTAGTTGTCGTTCTTTATTATTCTCGATCGGCCCCTTCAGCGCTCCACAAGCGGAATACTCAGCCTATACTTACTCGACTCAAAACAACCGTGCCACCGCAACAGTTAAGCTCGAAATAACTTTAAATCAACTCCACAAAAGGACAACGAACGAAAGGCAAAGCAAAAGCAAAGCTTAAAATTTCGTGACTGACTGCGAAAACTAAAAAAACCACGTGACCAAAGAAAACAATGAAATACATTAAAGAATTACTATTGGCGGGAAAAGACACGACGACATCTGTCAAATAAAAGTAGGTAAGATTGTTCCATAGAAGCTTCTAGAACATTCTAGCGCCACCCCTCTTAGGCTACGTCACCTACACTACAATAAATTACACTGTTGCGATTTTAGAGGCCTTTTCTCGCTGGTTTTTTACGGAACCCGTCAAGGGATCGGCGTCAATGACAACTATCATCAAGCTTCGCGCTTTGATGTGCACTTTTTTAGGTTAGTATTATGGTTGGTTGTAAAGAGGGAGTGCTGTTTTTGAAATTTGTTTATTTTAATCGGTACAGTACAAGCTACGGTATACGGTATACAAGCTACTGTTTCTTTCCTGTATCCTATCGGCTTTATGCTATTGCGATCGTTGTCCATGAACTTTAGGAATTTAATTTGCCTCTTATCTCTAATTGACCTTCAGCACTCGATCGCCTGTGATTGACCGATCGTAGAGCAAATCAGAGTAATATTTCAACTACAAGCTTTTTTACTGTCACATGTTTGGGAGACCATTCCCGATCCCACATGCGCAATGAGGTGCTGACCCCAAGAGAGTTTTCCTGGTATATCCGCTCATTCGATCAGTAATAACGTTAAACGCTTCAAAACTGAGACAAATACTGCTCTCTATTGATTGTCCAACGAAGAGCAGTCACTCAGTGTTGGGTGGAAAGAAATTGTTAACAACGACTGTGAAGTAGACTCCATTGAGATCAACGTAGTATGGGTATTTCTGGGGAGTTGTGTCAGGAGTCTGTTCTTGTTTGAACTGTGTTATCGACTAGTTGCTTGGTATAAATAGAATCTACCCTGTCGCAAAGGGTATGAAACTTAGAGTTGGCTTAAAGTATGTCTACAGGGCTGAATTTTAAGACTCATCCAGAAGTTACAAAGACTTTTTGTTGAAAGTGACGGCCCCGTAAGTGACCTTGGTTACAGTGTTTTTCCTTTACTTTCCAGGATTACTAACCTTTGGACAAGGTACTGTCTCAACAGCATCAGATTCAGCTTCTGTCAATTATTCAGGTAAGTTTTTAAACACAATTTATTCCACTGATACTGATCTACTAATTTACTAAGGCTGATATACCGGTAAACGTCTGATGTCAAACTCATTCTATATCCACTTTCAGTTGAGTTTGGCTGTTAACCTACATGTATTTTGCACCTAGTTATACCAGTCCTTCAATGCATACAAAAGGATTTATCCCACTGCCTGACTTGTAACTGGGTATAAACTGGCTCTCAACACATTATGGCATATTTTCCACTGAACTGCTACTTTGTCCCAATCAGTTGTTTCCTACTTTTTATTTTGGGGAATTGAAAGAGAAGAGGGCATATAGGTGGCAGAGGGAATGGAAGGGACCTTAATTATCAGACATTTTAGGAGATGAATGCAGGGTTTGGGAGTTAATGGATGAAGGGATGGAATTTTCTCAAAACTGGGTTAATTAAGACAGACAATCATTTTGGGAAATTATTCAGTAAAACTTAGCAATTTTTTTCAACAGTTCCTTTAGGAGGAACATGGACCATCAACCTGAATTTAACAGATGCAGACCAATGGCTAGATCATGTCTACCTAAAAAGAGATGGAAATCGTCTCATAAAGCTCAGAAAAGGTGAAGCTGGAAACGGCACTTGTTACAACGAGACACCTGGGTGCCAAACATATTACAACCTTCGCAATATTGGAGAAGGCATAATAGAAGTCACCATCTGCTTATTGTCGAAGTCAGTGCAGGGCTTTTATGAGCTGTATACCTATTGTACAGGGACTGACCATAACTGTAACAGATATGGTGCAATTAAGACATTTTGGCTCATCACTGAAGGTAAAGTCAGATAGCTCACTTATGTTGAATAATTCATTTGTTGTCCTGTATAGTGACCCAGTGGTCACTAGAATTGTCTTACTTTAGATGGGAGGCAAACATTGATCATACTATATAATTTTTTGCTGAAAAATGCAAATGACACCAACTTTCATTAACCAAGAATGAGCTTAGCATGTATTGGATAGGTAGCTCAGCCTATGTGGAGTATTACCAGTAGTTTATTGCGAGTAATTTCCAAAGAAATTATACACTTGCAGTGACCTGGTGCTATTTACTTTCTTATGTGTATGGAAGAGATGAACGCCAAAGTAAACTGCACTCAGAAAACCTTCCCCTTTTTTATTATATTGCAGATGAGCAAAACCCCACAGAAGGAACAAGTGAAAACAATATTACAGAGGAAGATTTCCCCTTTGTGAAGGGGTGTGCAATGAACATTCATGGCATTTGGTTAGGTAAGGGTTAATTTAGCCAAATGCAAATCCTCCGCATCTGCAGAGAAAGTCTTTTTTTGTTTTTAGGCAAATGAATGCAGTTTGAAATTCAATGTATCCTCTTGTAATTTATTTTTACCACAAAAAGCCAGCAAAGTTCAAGTGATTAGGAATTTCATTTCCCCTTTAATTAACTTGCACAACCTAATGTCGGTAAATGTATTTTTTGTCTATGCTGTAAATTAGTTGGGAAATTAGTTAGTGTTAATTATCATTATGATAACACCCCTGTTCTACTTCAAGTGTCACTCTGTTCTCACCAGCTCATTATTTTCCCAAAACTATAATTATTAAAATTTGATCAGTCAGGGTGTGTTTATCATCTTCTTAAAATTGGTGGGTTGAATTTTCAAGACTAGACATATTCATTTGGTATTGTTCAGTGATACTTTTCTCCTTTATTCTGAGAAAATAAATTCTGTAATCCGTTAACTTTCTGTGAGTATAATCAACATGCTTACTAATGTGAGTACTTTTCTTTTTACTTTCAGGAAAGTTGACATCTTTGTCAATAGTTCCTCTACTATGGTGGTTTATTTAAAAAGTTTGGCAAGTTTCCATATTTCCTTGAATAAGCCCCCACACTCTATTAAGAGCCTTTCCCCAGATACATGCCAACTGTTATGCCAAAAGGCCAAGCAAGTGCCCCCCTTGAAATAGCACCCCCCCTCCTTCCTCACTTTCATGAATAGTAGGGATATAAGGGAAACCTTATTTCATTACCAAATAATTTACAACCTTTTAAGCTTCACCTATAATTGAATCAGTACAGGAGAATACATTTGTTCCCATTCTATTCATTTCTATCTCCATGTGTTTGAAGAGTTCTGTATTTGTATCATCTGTTCTTTTAATTTTTTCCCATTGCTGCACACCCCCCTTGATTAAGCACCCTTTTTCCTATGAGCACCCCCCTTTTTTGCCAAAATTTTAATGAAGCACTTGCATGGGTACTTATGTAAAGAAATATGGTAACTTGCATGATGACTACAACAAGAATCAATGCACCTGTCAGCTTCCCAGTTGTATTATTTTTGGTTTTTATGCATTCCTGTTTGTTAGATCATATTTGTTACCTGATGCAGCAGGAACATGACAAGCAATATAAGAGCACTAGCAGGCATGGTTGTACTCCATATGCAATGCATTTTTTGATGTAAAAGAATTCAATAACTAATTTTAAAGAGGATAATATGTTTATAAGTTATGAAGAGTAGCTGTAGATTGTGAGTTTCTTAAACCTTTTTAATCACAATTGGAAGTAAGAACAATATGATTATAGCCAATTAGCCCTTGTTGATAAGAGTACAGACTGCTGCTTATGTCAGTGTGATAAAAAACAGATCCACAGTGATTACACTGGATCTGCACTCTTATTGACAACATCTGTCATTGCAGTGGTAAGAATTTGTTGCAGACTCATGAGGCGCATGCCAAGTGAGTCAACATTTGACCTCTGTGATGACAAATATTGTTGTTGATAACTGATAGAGATCATGCTAAACCACTGTCCGTTTCTTAATTACATAGCTTTGTAGTGCAATTTGTTGTATATAAGCAAGAGTCAATTTTTCAATTTTCAAAGACAACAAAATTGCATGAGCCCATTGGGTGCATGAAACTCAGTAAGCTTTTAAAGAAGTTGGAATTAGTGTAGGTAGCAGTAAAGTTACTAGTCTTTTTGGCATAAGTAGGAGTATTCTTATTTGAAAATAAACTTTTGCACAACTCTTACATGAAAACAAGAGAAATGTCAATCAATTCTTTACCTGCTCTGGGTAAAAATAATTATTGAAGGGGGGTGAGTTAAAGGCAGCGTGATTTATCAAAAACTAGCAAAGGGGCTATAACTAGCCTGCAAGCTGACATTCATAATTTTGTACATTGTCTATTTGCTTTGGAAAGGTATCCCTGAAGGTGCTAGCTAGGGATTTGTATAAGTACCAGTATGCTAAAAACCATCAGCTATATAATCAAACTTTGTCAAATACCACAAAGGGCTGTAGCCATAATTCCTCTCTGAAGGGGGCAATATGCAACAAAGCTTATGTGGACAAATACCAAGTCTAAGGTTTAGAAATTAGATCCATCAAATACGACCCACTCTTTGATGTCCCCTTGGGTATGCTGTCATTTCTCATGCTGATTTCGGTTGGGACACAAGTGAAGCAGTGTCCAGTCTCCTCTTTTCCCCTTTTTTAAAATCTAATCACTGAAGTATTTCTTGAAATCCCTTCTGAAAAAACAACTGCATTATGGTCTAGCCAAAATGATAAAGAGACAGAGTGGGAGCCAATAAGAGTGAAACATATTAGCCTTTATTAATCAATGACAGAAATACAACATCGAGATCAAGATTATTGAAAAATGTATAATTTCAGTCATTGGTGGTCCATGTGTTTAACTGGTGGTGTTAAAATTTCAAATGTTCCTGACTTGTTATCATTTTAAAAATTTACTGATTCAGCATAAAATTCATTGAGCTTTTTCCCCACAAATTTTCCTGATCTCAGAAGCAACAATGTGAGGGGGAATATTTCTATAACAACCAATGTTATAACTTTTATTATCAATATCAGTTGATCAAGCAACTTGATATATTAAATTACTTCTTCAAATTTTATCATACTTTTTTTTTAAATTAACTCTTCTTTACAAGAAGTTTATTAAAAATATCTTATCATTTGTGCCTTTGGGAATTTATAGAGAACAGTATAGAGTGTAAAATATAACAGTATATAAATTATGGAGAATATGCATACTGAAGTTTTAGGGTGTAAAAATTAAGGGTTAACCTACAGGTGTAGTGTAGTTTTTAAAGATTTGAAGCATATTCACAAGTTTACAGGATGATGACTTTACAAAGTAAAATAAATAGAATTTGCAATGTTGGCTTTTGTGGAGGAAGGAAAACTAGAGCAAGAACAATAACCAAACTAAATTCACACATGTCAGGTCCAGGAATCATACATCAAACCCAGGTAAGCGCTCTCACCACTGCACCTTACCTGCTCCCCTGATTGGTATATTTAACTATAATTTGGTTGGAGTGAGCTTTTGCATTTTTAAGTAACTGCCTTTTCATGGACAGGTGGAACTTCTTCTTTCACTTAAAACTAACATTGAACTTTAAACTAGCCCATCATCATATTGGTGAGATTTCCAGCAAATTCCACATCTGTGCCGTCTTCCATACTTGTACCAAACCATGCAAGCAATTAGAGCAGCTATCACAATAGCAATGGGTACAGCTACTTTCACAGCCAGACTGCTCGAACTACCCATTCCTAACAAAATCACCAATTAAAGACACAATAAATTAGAGAAAATGTCTTGGATTATGACCAATTTCAACTAGTTATATAGTTTAGTCACTTTTTCAATTACAAATAATATTATTGACTGAAAAAAAATAAATAAAAACAGCTGCCAAGTTAGTGTTACATTTTTGCAGTCTATAAACTTTTTAAATACTTCATCCTGAAGTACTGAGATGTGGGTAGATTTTGGATGAAATAATTTTAGATGCATTGAGATGTAGTTGTGTTGCAGATCAGCAGTAAAAAGACCATGGTTGGCTGGGTGACCACACAAAGAATTAAAATGTGAGATTTTCCAATTACACATTTTTGCATACTGATTTTAAGAGGTTTTACTTTTTGTTTACAATACACATGCAAGTGAATCAACTTTGTGGTTTACCTGTAGTTGCATTGTCTTCCAGCTGACTTGTTGGCTCAAACGCTGATCCAGAGCTTTCATTAACTGAAGAGCCAGCTGTAAAAAGGAAATAAGAGAAATGGTTGATACATTCAAAGAAGTGTAGTTTAACAAATAATTCATGTATACTCATTGACTGATCATCTATCAAATCCAGAAACCCAAAGTTTGACAAGCATTAGGTTCAGTCAAGAAACAGAAGCAGAAAAAAGTGTGTCATCAATGTTTGTTTTTGTTGCTGCCATAATTGTTTTTGTTTAATTTGCATTTTTTCTAATTTGTTTAAATTGTTGCGTTGTTGTTGTAGCTTTCTTTTAACCAATTTTCAGATTAGATTTTCAGGTGGGGCTTAAAGTTAAAACACCCTATAGAATTGGTCTGGATAGTAACAGGTTAAGTTTTAAGAAAATACCCAACATTTTTTATTTTTAAAAATATGGTACAGCAGTTCTTCTGCCATCTTCAATTTTAATTTACACAAAGTACAATCTATATTGTACACAGAAGTATAGAATTGCGAGTATTATATCCTCTTAAAGCACAATCACAATGAAATTTTCCCAGTGATTTAATTGAGAACTTTCAAGGCTTAAATTATGCTCTAATCCTTTCACTACCAGGAATGACCAAAAATGAAATTCTTCCAACAACGTTAAGTGCTATTTCAAGTTACTGTAAAAATGCAATGAGATGAAAGGAAAACAAAATTTTTGGGGATTAATTGCTTCATTTAACACCAAATTCTTGGAACCAAAATAATAAAAAATTTATCTTGTACAGTGAAGAGAAATGATATTTTGATCATGGGAGTGAAAGCATTAACTTTGTTTTACACAAGATGAATATACCATACCTGTGTGTGTAACAACTGTAGGTGTTGGTATTTGAACTGAAAGAATAATTAAAACAAAACGATTTGTCACAGTTCTTCAGACTATAATTACTGATAATTCCACCAAAGAAGAGATTTATTTAAAGCAAATTGAGTTTAATATCCTCTTCTCACAGCTACTGGAGTAGACTAAAGGTGCAACAATAATGAAAATCACCACCCAAAATCTGTAAGAAAAACAACCTACACCTAAGAGAGGGGCGCTGCTTTGGGATTTTCAGTTTTGCGGTTTTGACTGTTTTTTGGATCAGTTTTTCAGTTTTTTGGGCCAAGAAGGTTAGGTTTTTCGGTTTTGATGTTCAGAGCAGTTTGCGGTTTTTACGTGTTTTTGCATCCGGTTTTCGGTTTTCACGAAAACTCTGATGCGGTTTTCAGTTTTTCCTTTTTGACTCCTTTGAAGGTGAAAATGTAGTGGTTTTGTCAAGTTTGCATGCGGTTTTCAGTTTTGCTGCCTTTTTTCGTTGGTTTTTCGGTTTTGGAGGTTTTTTTCTCTGGTTTTGCGGTTTCCCAGAGGCCCCAATGCCCCCCTCCTAAGATGCTTAGAACTATGAAGTTTGCTCCTCACAGAAAAAGGTGCAATCAATGTTTACAGAATTATTACTTGCTTGTTTTTTTAATCCTGAATTTAAGGAGTCCACTTCGTTTTAACTCCTTGGTAAGTACTTATCTATAATCGTTTATCTGTTTGCCAATTGAAATTAATTTAATTAAAACATATCCAGTTAATTCAGAGTATGCTCCAAATTCAAATTATAAGAATCACCTCATGTCAAAATAGCAGGCAGTCAACTTAAATAGAGCAACAAATAGGGTAATTACCTTCAACCTTTGTGTAATTCACAGTAAAATGTTGGTCATGGTTGTATCCTGTATTATTTTTGTCGTGAGTAGTCAAAACAACAACAAGGGCATGTATAATGACAGAACTTTCTCCAAGTGCCATCTTTGGGAGGTGAAGATTGAAGTGTGTATGAACTTGCACCTCGCTGATTGACATAACTTTTACTTGAGATGTCAAAGTCAAATCAGCATCCATCAAATTCAATTCCTCCACCCTTTTCAGGTTAACTCTAGCCTCAGACACTCCAGCAGAATTGAGACGAAGAGAAATGAGTCTGCCTCTACTTGTTTCTCCGCTGTGTTGCGTATAAGCATAAACTTGAACTCTTTCCATAAAGACTGTCTCGTTCAAGAATAACATATCACTCTTTACCGTCAAGTTATGCTGCTTTTCTGTCACTTGGATGGTTTCAGGTGCAAAAGTATAACTACCATCATCGTTCTTCATACCTTGCCCTACAGTCAGAAAGCACAACCCTCTCCTATTAGTTTAATTCTTTAAATAAAAGATCAATGACATGCCTTCAAATATATCACTCACCATTAGTGTACCAAGTACATAGCAAGAAATGAATCACACACAGAACATAACGATGCATAGCTATGAATGATTACTATAAGGGCCCCTTGATTAACTATGTGTACGAAAGTTTAGCCAAGCCCACCCCTCACAGTTTAGTGATCTTCAGCAGTACTACCAAATAAGGTAGTGAGCAAGTGGTTGAAAAAATAAAAGGAACAACAAGGTTGTGAGAGTGCGAGTTTTTTCTATGAGCTGTTTTATTGTTCGGCTTATATACCCAAAAGCAATTCTTGCATGACCTTGAGAAATTTATGCGACTTTCATGCTCGAGTTTAGAAATAAAGACTGTTCATGTTGTTCACTTAGTCGTCCTTGCTGCCCAACAATGCCACAGGACTATAATTATGCTCAAATACAAGGTAGATACCAGTCTCACTTGATCTAAGTTTTACAAGGTATCAAAATGGCAGATATCCATAGGCTTACTCCTAAGACATATTTATATTCTTTTTACACCTTCCTATCTAAATTATACACAAGTAAATGTTGCTTTCTTGACACAGCAAAAGTACATGAATTAAGCTTACTTACCTGTCATCATGTCTAACTGTATAATTAAGAAGAAAGTGGTTTGTCAAATCTTGAGGTAAGAAGCAGCTTCATATTAGCTTAAATTACGTTATTCTGTAATTTTTTTTGTCCTCAACTGAAACCATCGCAAGTCCTGAATCGACTGACTGCTCATTGCAACTACTTCAACTACCAAACTCTGCTTAAAGCAGCTCATATACTATTGACATCCCAGCTTAATTCTTGGTTTAGTTTCTAAAACTGACCTGATTTTGCCTTTAAAATTATAAGGGCAGGCTTAAAAAGAGGGCATAAATGATGACCTCTTGGGTTTAAAAGTTATCCTGACTCGGAGGGCTATGTATGGGTATTTGATGCCTGGTATACTACTGAGTATACATTTTACCCAAAATTATCATAAACTGAGTCTATAACTTACAATTTTGAAGAAAATAATTGAAATTTTCATGGGTTTTTTTTTTTTAGTGTTTTTTATTGAAGGTATACTAAGCTTATCTTTAAAAGTATTGCAGCAAGGCATCATTATCATAGGGTATAAAATTTCCCTTCAGTCTTAGACGTGTTCTATTTTCCCCTGATATTTCATCAATAGGATATCAATTTCTCATTCACCACTCTGTCAAATGAGGGTCAAGTTCTTAAAATAAACTTCTGGCTGAAAATCCCTCTGCAAAACAAGTCTTGAAATAAGTCTTACCTGACCCTTCCCAAAATTTTGAGAACATCGCAAGTTCAGAAGGAATTCCAAGCTTCATTATAAGTTCTTTTAATAGGTCAGCATTTGACATCTTATATGTGCCATGGATTGCCAACTTATCACATAGCTCTATCAGTAATTTTATCTGCACCCTAAGAGAAGGAAAAACTGCATGCATAAAACACAAAACAAAAGAAACCGACTACAATGAGAAAAATGACACTGTTAGTGAAGTGAAAAAAAAGTGTGATTAACTACTCACACTTTCTTGTTCTAGAGCTTCACTGACTTCCTTTGTATTTCATTGAGGTTCATGTTGGGTCCCTCGTTCTTGGACATCAGTAGTATTGGTGGCCCTTCTTGTATAGCATTGGGTATTTTGTTCCCTCTACTAAATGACCTAATCCATGGTGCCCAATACTTGTATGATGGTGTCACAACAAAAGAGTAACGAGAATCTGATAAACCTAAAAGACATTGACACAGTACTTTACAAATAATTTACAGTTGTTATTTTACATTTATATTCTAAGCGATGTACATTAATTGTTTCCACTAGATGTCTATCCAGCAAATTTGAATTCCCTGTACATCCATCACTGAAAGACAGGCTTGATCCCAGAATTGTTCTGCATCAACTTCATCGTTACCATCTTCAGGCATTTATAATTCACTTAATTGTTGAAATCACATATATCACTAAGATTAATATTATCAATCAACTGCAAATTCTAATCATACGTTGCCATGATTATTACTGACATTAATATTATTTAAGGCATAAATTATTAGTGAACTATGATAATTGTTTTGCTTTTATTGCTCTAAATAGCCTATGTTTTCAGTGTTTGTACTCTGTCTGCTGAATATGATTATTGTAATTATAAAACACTACTAGGCAAATCAAACATACCCTTTTCATCTGCATCTGTCACTAAAAGTGGCAGATAATGACCACATAAAACACAGAAGATATCATATTTGTGATCACACAGCTGGGCTTCTTAATGAATGTATGCATTCCCAATTACAGCTGGTGGTAATATGCCCTTCAAACCAAGCCACCCTTCCACTGCTTGGCAGACACAGCTGAATGCTGAATGAGCCTCTCCGACTCTTTGTCGTCAGAATTATTCAAATTGTCCGCCATTTTTTTTTCATAACTTCAATCCAGTTCTTCACTTGCACGATGCAAGAAAACCTGTCTAACCGGTTCTCTGGAGTACAAATACCATGTGATATTTGTACTCGTCTATGGTGCTATTTGTACTCTACAGAGTGTAGTTGGACAATAATAACATTTGTGTCACCTGTTACTATACCAAACTCCATGGTTGTCACTAGCTTTCCATTCTTAGTAACTGTGGAGGGCCCTGAATTAACTCAGGATGTTTATAACATTTCATATTTGAGTTTCTTGAGGAACAAGGCTGTGATTTAAAATAAGATGGTGACAATCAAAAACAGCTGCAGCAGCTGATAACTACAAGGCTAGCACACACACATACACACCCTTGTATAGCAACTTGTACTATTATTACTGCCATTCTTTTGATATGATTGTGTTTGTTGTTTATAAGGTTGTGTTGGCAGCATTGGTCTTGGTTTTTGTATTTGTTGTAAACTGGTTGGTGTTTGTTGTCATTGTACATGTGTACGATTAGGAGTCTGTATGGTAAGCAAATTGAAATGTTTCAGGTTATTGCAGCCAAAGCAGTGCAGATAGTGTGGTTTGTTCCACAACACTGATTCCGTTTTTGCCGACAATGGCTGGTTGCTATTCTTGCATTTAAGAATATTATACCCTGATGAAAAATACACAACAAGACGAAACAATATGAACAGTATTGCAAATAATGCCTGCAGTATACATCAGAATCACTTGGATTGGACTCCTATTAAGTGAAGTTTATCTCTAAATTAATTCCACCTCAATAAAAAAAAGTGTAACTCAGCATTAAATAATTATTTTTTTAATGCAGAATGGCAGACCTAAGTGTTCTTTTCAATGTATAAAGCCATAAACTCCAAGGGTGGACACTTCATGAGAGACCAGAAGAGACTCTGTCCCTTATGGTCTCTTGTGTACTGCCATGTGATAATAAATATGAAATAAACTAAAACCATGGCTTTGCTACACAAAT